GGAAGAATGAAAACAGCTCTGTGTTTCCAGCAGGGGTCCCACGTGGGTGGTCAGTGGTAATGTATACAGCAGAGTCACAATGTGGGTACATCATGGGCCAGACTACAGTCAAACCACAGAACTCCAAGTACAGTTACTTCGCTGATTATGATCCCACGAGGAATTCTTGGGAAGAAGGAGGAGTGTGGGCTCAGGGGTTCTGGTCACCCACATGTGTATCTGCTGCTGTCTGGCTGCCTGGAGCAGCAGTGCTAATCACAGTCTAATGTCAAGTCCCTGCTCCTCTGCAGGGAGGCTCTCGGGCTGGGCCTGCTGCCCCATCCTGAGGCTTGGCTGTCTTCAGGTATGCCTCCACCACAATTCTGATGTCTTTATTTTTTTGTGCTGGCGTCTTTGAAGGCCTACTCCCTCTGTACATATTAATTTCTATCTAACTTAGCTGGCTGTAATAGTGTGATTAAATAATGTGGAGCCAGTTCCTATGTTAGCAAATTCCACAAAGAGGAAGTTGTGCTTGGCCTTTGATCCTCTTCTCAAGAGTGAGCACTGGGCGGCCAAGGGTAGGTTCAACATTTCAAAGGCTTGATCAGATTAAAGTTTCTGTTAAATCCGTGAAAGAATCTGCAGGTTGCAGCTGGCTGTCTCCACACTGTTCTGCCACAGACCACAGGGAAAGGGAGCCTTCCTGAGCACAGGGCTCCTGCTCGCCCTATCACATCGCTACCTCAGCCAAGGACGCCATCCCGCCCGCCCTGTATCTGTCCAGTCTCCTATGGCCTGCGCCTCCTCTCCTGTGACACCTACCAGACAAATACAAGCTTAGAGGCAGGAAGTGAATTGCAGAGGTTATCTGTTTCCGTAACAGCCTAACAGGGCTTTGAGGCTGAAACGCACACAAAGCAGCTGGGGCATGAGACAAGGGCAGACGCCAAGTCAGTGAGTCTATGAGAGACTGAGGGTCTGCGTTTATTCCTCAAGGTGCATGGTCCAAGGATCATATTTTCTTTTTATTTTAAACAGAAAAAAGTAAAAATAATGATAAAACAGAGTTTCAAAACAGGCCAATAGGAGAGCAGTGGTAACCAACTCACTGCATACTGCCATGTTCACAGCAGCCATTCAGAGAGCAAGACACAGGCATGAAACACCACCAAAAAAGTGTCAACCCAAAACTCTTCCCTCACTGAACCAAGAGAAGCCAGCTGTACAGCCAGCCTCACTCTCCTGTGTTAGGAGAGTCATGGACAGATTTTTTTCTTTTCCTTTCCTTTCCTTCTTTCTTTCCTTTCTTTTCTTTTTCTTCCTTTCCTTTCCTTTCGTTTCCTTTCCTTTCTTTCCCCATTCTCTTATCACAGTTTTTCTTTTCTTTTGAACAGTTTCTTCCCAATTCACAATATCTGTTTCAGATCCTTTTACTTGTTCAGTTTCTCACACTGGTGAGACAGTGCGATGTTTACACATGTGGGTCTGATCTATTTCACTTACAAGTACAGCCTCAGGTTGCATCCATTTACCTATAAAAGTCTCAAGTTTACCCTTCTTTATGGCTGAGTACTATTTCATTATATTAAAACACACACACACACACACACACACACACACATTGTACCTCGAAGACTGAGGATCTAAAGATCTCATTTCAAATTTTGCCTTCTCACAACCTCAGTTATCCCTCTTGTAAAACATGGGCCTTTGAATCCTTTGTAATTCTGGGCAGCAGCAGCGTCATGCAGTTTGGAACACAGAAGAGGTGGTTGTATGTCGGGTGCACGTCTATTCTGATTTTCAGGGACCATCTGAAGGTGAAATGACCCCATAAAGGCAAAACAAAAGATGAAGTCAAGTGAGGCAGGAAGTGCAGTCTGTAACTCTGACAAGCCCAAGGTGATTACAGGTTAATTCACCTTGTACCAACGTTCAGAGCAACGTTCTGATGGTGCCGCTGTGTTCTCAGATAAGCTACCTGGAGGCTTAATTCTTTCCATTACTTGCCCAATGAAAATTACCAGGCACCCAGGGGACCCAAGCATCATCACAAAGAGCATCATCTTTAGATCTTGAATGTAACTTTAGCCAGAGTCCGAGTGAGGATAAGTCACCACTCAATACCACATTTCTGTTGTTGTTGTAAACCTGCCAGTGTGGGGGAATTCAGGTTTGGGTAGCTGCCTTGTTTCTCAGGTTCCCTTCCATCCCAGGGAGTGGGGACCCATGGCACAGCGGCTCTGTGAGCTGTGTGCCTGTTTGTGTGTCTTAGTGAATTACCTTGAGACATCATGGTAACTGGCTCGGGAGCATGGGGACTGAGGGCCTGGAGACAGGGATGTGCGTTTCAGCACAGTCTGTCCTGTCAGTCAGCCTCGGGAGGTCGTCTGTGGACAGCTGTGGCCCGGTGCTCGCTCTGGCTGACTGCCTGATAAGTCACTCTCCCAGATTGTAAATTGGAGTCTGAAAATTCCCAACTTGCAAAGCCAAGCTGTTTGAAGGGTGGGAACTCTGGGGTGCATATGGTGTTTGACTAAGGAACTGGATTTTCTGTGCTTGCCCCAGGTGCTCAGATCCACTTTCTTTAAACAGAATGAGGCTGAGGTCTAGCAGAAACCCTGACTCATCTCAGGGTCCTGCTCTGTCAATATCACATGACTCCTAGGTTTTCCTATGTGAGCTCAAAAGCAAGAACAGTGTTAATATTCAAAATAATTAAAAGGAGCGGGTCTTTTGTAGCTCTAGGCATTGTCTGGGGCTTCAGACGTTAACCGTTTAGTTTCAGGTCAAGGAGGCCCCATTGAAGAGTCTGAGTATCAACCTGAAAAAAACCTCCGAGCTTTAGTCAGAGTAACACCAATTTGCCACCCCCATTTGCTACTTTATATTTGCTAGACAAAATTGTATAATCTGCACCTCAGTTTCTTCACCTGTGAAACAGGTTAATAATACTCTCTTTGCAGGATTGTGATGAGGATTACAAGAACCAAAGTACGTCACATTCTTCAAAGAATGATTGACACATGGGTGGTTATCAGATGCAGACAGCTGGCCTCAGTATTGCCTTTGCTGTCTGCAGAGAATGAGGACAGGGACCACAGGAAGCCTTGGGTTAGCACTGCTGTCATGTCACATGCTCTCCTTTGGGGAGGATGGCGCTATAGAAGTGGCCAGAGGAGGCTTTGTGCTTGGGCCTAGCTACATCTTTAGATTGCCACGGCCACGCTCTGCCGGCTCCTCAGCAGCCTGTTGGCTGATTGGTAGATGCTTTCAAGACTCAGGCGTGATTATGAAGATGCTTAGCTATTGCTTGCTCTTCAGAGGCCTGGGGGGCCAGCTTGAGGCTCTTGCCTTGTAAATAAGAGACGTGCTACATACACATTTCCCTCCATCAGTCTGGCTGCGTTTGCAGCCCCCTTCCCGCATGCCCACGCATGCTTTAAAGCATCTCCTAGATGCTCACCTGGTCTCATGACTGGAGTCATCTCTACTGAGAAGGGTAATGTCATGTGGTCTATCCTGTGACACAGAGAAAATGAAACACTCCACACCCAAGAAAGGTGGACCACTCACCTCTTTCTGATTCCGACCTCTTTGGCAGCAGCTTTGGTTTCGTCTGATGTCACAGCTGTTGCAGCCTTCACTGCTCACCTGGTCCTATGTACCCACCTGTCCCCAAAGCACACATCACTGATGGTGTCTTGAGGCCTGACAAAGTGTTTTCCTGCTGAGTCCTACTGGCTCATTAACTGCATGAGTAGTACACTAACTTGTGGCCATTCAAAGAGGTTATCTCCCAAACTACTCTAAAGCAATCAATAAACCAGTGTTTGTTTTCACTTTCTTACTTTGATGCCACGAAGTGGCTTGAATGTGCTCAGAAAATGATGCTTGGGTGAGGTCAGAGAAAAGGCAGAAATGGAGACATGTCCAGATACAACAAACCTTACTGTTAGTGTTGTTTTCTCTAGACATTGTATATCCAAAAAACAAAAAAAAACCCTTCTGAACCAACATTTGCCACAACTATTATTTTATCCAGATAAAGATTTTAGGCAGCCGATGGAGGTCTGGTTTCTTAGAAAACCAAAATGGATTTGAAAATTCAGGTGTCCACTCACAGTGACACTCCTGATTTTCTGTGTGTTCCCCCTAGAGACCAGAGCCGACACTGTAAGTTTACTATTGCCCATGGTATGGCGGCTCTTACCTCCTAACTCCAGGCCTCCTTCCTGATGCATAGAGCTACAGACCATCTGAAGCCTCTCAGCTTACCTCCCCAACCTCCAAGGAAGGGCCAGGGTTATAAGGATCCTGGAGCAGTGATGGCGAAAATTTAGAGACCGAGTGCCCAAACTGCAACCCCAAATCCACTATTTATCACAAAGCGCTAATACTGCAATTAAACTGAATATTGAGGTTTTAGTTTAGAATAAAAACCAACTTTACATTAACATCTTTGGTCTTAAAATACAAACACAGTAACATAAGTGCCATAGGTTCACCACCACTGGCCTAGAGAGAAAGAACTCATAGACCCCTTCAGAAGCACATTAAGGGTCCTCCATGGTGACAACCATCAGCTATGTTGTGGCAGGCCCACTTTGACGTGGGTGCCTGTGAGTCGGTCCCCTAGGTTGGCGTTGTCCTGGGGCTGCTCTGGGCACTCAAACAAAGATGACTTGACAATGAGTCAAACTCCAGGAGACTTCTCATTCCTGCCCACTGTATACCCAGTCCCAAAAGGCTGGCGTGGCATTGACCATTGTGTCATCTCCTCCATGAGTAGGCAGTGGAAGGGGCTTACCATCAGCCCTTGCCACTGCCCCTCGCTGCCAACAGTCGCCAGCAGCGCTTACCAGCCTAGCTGAGACCTGATTACTGTGTCCTGACAGCCTGAGCTCACTTTCCCCATGTGAAATGCTGGGATGTATTTCATGCCTTGTTCATCTGCTGTGAGCTGTGTTGTTGACTTCCAATCTCTGACATGTCTCTTTGTTTTCTGTGTGTTACAGGCAGCATAGTGTACCTCGGGATGATGGTAGGGGCGTTCTTCTGGGGAGGACTGGCAGACAAAGTGGGAAGGAAACAATCTCTTCTGATTTGCATGTCTGTCAACGGATTCTTTGCCTTCCTTTCTTCATTTGTCCAAGGTTATGGCTTCTTTCTCTTCTGTCGCTTACTCTCTGGATTCGGGTAAGGTTTTCTCCTTCATATTTTATAGTAATGTATTTATTCATAATTGTGCACGTGTTTCTCCTAGAGGACCTCATTACCAAGCAATTGTCTCTCTTTTTTATGCTACAGGAAGTTTAACCTAGTCTGAGTTACACCTTGCCCTGAACTATATTCCAAACCTCTCTATCTTTTTAAATTTTAAGTCAGGGTCTCTCTACATTGCTAAATTGACCATTGTGTCATCTCCTCCATGAGTAGGCAGTGGAAGGGGCTTACCATCAGCCCTTGTCACTGCCCCTCGTTGCCAACAGTCACCAGCAGAGCTTACCAGCCTAGCTGAGACCTGATTACTGTGTGTCCTGACAGCCTGAGCTCACTTTCCCCATGTGAAATGCTGGTGGGCTCAAACTTGCCACCCTCCTATCTCAGCCTCCCAGAGTGCTGGCATTTTAGGCGTGTGCCTCCACTCCTAGCTTGGAAATTGCCTCTTAACACATGTCCTCCTCCATTTTTGTGTCATCTTCACAAGCTACAATTCTGGTTCTTGTAAATGTGATTATCAACCTTTTGAATCTGGGTTGGAATCAAAACATGCCTGTGTTCCCAAGGTCAATGATTTTGTGTTTCCTTTGGAGGGAAACTAGTAATTTTAAAAATGGAATACTATTCCCATACCAGAGCACACTGACACATGTGTTTCTTCTGAAATTTAATTTAAGAAACAAGTACTTATTATTAGGAAGTAAACATTCCAGACATTTAGGGAGACTCTTAAATTCAGGATTACAGTGTCTCAAGCAGCTTGCGGGTTTATTGATCTATGTTATCCAAGTGCACCGAAAGAGATATGGCCTAGGAGATACGGCCTGGTTCTTGAGACAAGTCATTTCTGTCAGTTCTGCTGAGGGAACAGGTGTCCTGCTGCTCCCCAGCCACAGAGGCAGAAGACAGTCAGCCATGCACTCATCTTCTCTGAGGAGTTTGAAGCTCCACCGAAGTAAACCTCCAAGCTTGTGAAAACTCAATAGCTTCATGAGGAGAGTGTGAGAAACTTGGTTTTAATCAAAATAATGTACAGAAGTATCAAATTTCTAATTCATGCTTGAGAATTTAGAGGCATGATGGTGATGATTCAAATTACACTTTCTAAAAATTTTAAATGTACAGGAGATAGAGCTGGATTATGAATTTGAGAATTTACCGGTTGTGGCTGTAGATAAGCCTACATCACAACTCACACAGCGCCACACCGAGAGCGAGAAGGGGCCCCGCAGCCTCTGTGTATCTTTCTTACATTCAGTCCTGCCGCCTTAGCCCCAGGTTGACGTGTCTTTTCTAAAAGAGAGATCCTATTTCTACCTTGCACTGAAGACAAAAAGAAAGTGTATTGAAAGAACATGATAGGGGAGGAAATGAAGGTTTGGGTCCAACATTCACCTATGGCTTGGCGTTTCCTTGTGCCTCTTTCCTCATCCTCTGATTCACGCACCTGAGCTGACCTGTGCTATCCTCCACGTGACACAGAAAGGCTGGAGGTAGGGCTTTCTTTCAGGCTGTGAATGTCAAGTCTTGTGCATGAGGGAAACAGGAGAGACTAGCTATGGACCAAGATGTTGAGAAGGAAGAGAAACCAGCAAGCCTTGCTGCTCTGCAGAATAGAGTGGGTTCCCAGGCCAGGGGCAGGACTAAGTGGGGACAATATAGGAATTTATTCACCTGAGCTCACATCTACAGAACATCTGCACAGTTGTATGAAACCTAGAAGCTGAGTGTGTGTGTAAGGAATTAAGAAAAATAAAGAAAGGAATCTACATTTGGGCTCTCCAGAGACGCAGAACCAACAGGAAGGAGAGATGTTTGGACAGACATAGAGACACAGGCAGGTGGGTGAGGATGCATTAGGAGAGGATAAGAGTCCTATCCCAGACTGTCCGCAGGCTGGAGAGCAAGAGTGTGAGTAGCATGCCTCAGTGTAAGTCCAGAAACCTCAGGACTAGGAAAGGTGGGGGTATGATGCTCAGTCTGAGGCCAACGGGCTGAGTACCTTGGGGCACTGGAGCAAGTCCCAAGTTCAAGAGCTGGAGAATCCTGAGCTCTGACATTTATGCACAGGAAAAAAAGGGTGTCCCAGCTCCAAGGAGACTGGGCAGGTTCCATTTTCCCCTCCAGCTTTTCCCACATCTGTCCCCAGGCTGTTGGATGGTGCCTGACCATATCAGGGCCCCCTTTCCCCACTGGATCCTGAGCTCACACATCAGTCACCTCCCCAGATACACCTGGGAATGACGCCCCCCTGCTATCTAGGTTCCCCTAATCCAGTCAAGTACCCACGAGCCAGGGGTTTATTCGGGACCCTGCTTCTGAGTCTCTGGGAAGTCTGTTCCCTCCAGTTCCATTCCGACTTAACTCAAACACATCTCAGCTCCCACTCTACCTCCTGGCCCCAGGCTGGACCTTGCAGAGCCCTGGCCTCTCACTGCAGAGTGCTCTCCAAACTCTGCTTTCCAAGGGGCTCACAAAGAAGGAGAAAACAATGATAACAATGTGGGTGAGAAAGCAATTTTAAAAGGCTCTCCGTGTCCTTAAAGGCATATAATGTTTCAATTCTTTATTCCCATTACCTGTAAACTCGTAAGCAGCAGAAATTGGATTTTTGCTTTCTGCAGTACTGAATTGAACCAGGCCTTTCACACCAACCTACATCCCCAGCCCTTTTTCTAATCATTATTTTTTAAATTTTGAAACAGGCTCTCACTAAGTCACCAAGTTGCCCAGACTAAGCTTGAACTTGCAGTCCTCCTGCCTCAGCCTCCCACAGTGCTGGGATTACAGGCACGTGCCCATGATCCACTAAGCATCAGAAGTTCGATATATCCCCTTTATTAGGACATAAGACAGAAAACTAAAATTCTCATGCTGGAGAGCTTTAAATTAAAGATCACTTTATAGCTACATAGTTAAGCAGCTGACTCCACTCACATGTGTTCAGGTTTTAAAATTGAGGAAATGAGATGGTGGAAGACATCAGGTTCCACAGGCTGTGGGCGCTTCCACAGTGGGTCTCTGGTGCTTAGACCCTCCAAGGCCCATGGTCTGCCAGGAGCACGGTGCCTGCACAGGCCTGCGCTTTGAGGCTCTAGTCCCAACCACGCCCCCTTACCACCTCCCAGAGGGGTTTCCCGAGAGAGCTTACTGGGGCTCCACCAGAGCTCCACTTTATCTTCTTGGCAGTACTTATGGCCATGCCTGAAGCCTCTTCCTCCCTTCCTTCCTGTTTTTCTCTCCCACCCTCAAAATGCCTTAAGACCCTGTCTTGTTCTACACACTCTGCTTTCAGCATTCCAGGGCCTTAACAGATAATCTGAAGTCCTTCATAGAAAATGCCTGTAACCTACACTCATTCTCCTGTCCACTTTATTTCTTAACGGTCACAAAGGAATTTATTAAGCATAATTTTACGAGTACACACGCAAAGAAGTACACACTCAAGAGAGGCACGTTATAGCCTGGAGCTGGGAATATTTACAGTTTTTGTGGCAGTGGAAGTCTGTGGAATCTGTGAATCTCCAGAAGGTTAAGGCTTGGCTTACTTCAGGGGAAAAGTGAAGGCCCCCACTGGGAGAAAGAAGAGGGCTCCCCTTCAGGTGAAAGGACTATGGCAGTGACTTACAGCGCCGCCTTCACTGGAAGCACCCTGGGTGTAGTGCCGATGGCCAGAGAGGAGGCTGCGCATGCCCAGCATGATGCGCTTATGTCCTGGAATACTGCGCATCCCAGAGTGGCTAGACCCACAGTTTCGGAGCCCAGACGTGGCTGTGTGGCTGCTGGGAAGGGCAGCGGGGGCGGAGCAATGTGAGCCTGGACACCAGACTAGGTAATTTCAGAGTGCCAGAGATTAGCTAGGAAGCCTACTCAAGTCTTCTTTAATCACATAATCAGAAAAGTTCCACATCAAGTGGACAAAACCCTGACTTGAGTCCTAAATGCAATGTCCTGGCCTCTCCATCAGTTCCCAGATTGCAGCCACTATACAAACTCTGGCTTCAGGTCTCTGTGAGGAAGGGCGCCCTGCACTGCTAAAAATGCGCTGTGTTCCTGCATCACACCGCCTTTGCAAGGGGAGCGGCGACCTTTAACCTCCTGAGCCACCGTGCTTGCGAGGAGGAAAAAGCAGGCTTCTGGGCTTACCAGACCCTGACTGTGACCTGATGCTAACTCCAAGAGACCCAGAATGTCACTCTGGCCCACCAGTCAGAGGAGGGGCTTTGGGAAGTCAGATCACCACCGGAGCTTTAACTCAGTCCCTTTTCACAGTGGCCCAGCGGTCACTAACTCAGGGGCCTGCTCACTTCCAGCATGCATTACTGGGACAGACCCATGTGCAGTGATCAGAGTCCCAGCGTACCAGAGTACCTGCCTGCCAGGCCATTCACAGGAAATTGTAGAACCCAAAGAAAAGGCCTGCGTCACCAGCCATGTGCTTCATTTGGCAGGTTTGGAACCAGGAATGAGTCAGCTAGGAGGTAAACTGTAGTTAAGTCCTTTTACTAGCAGCTCTATAAGTATAGTGTCCCTTCTGAACCCAAAGCTTGGCGGTCTTCCAGCAGGTGTTGCAAATGCTTTCTGTAAGCATCCTTAGGGGCTTCCGTGTGACACCCTGTTCCCTCTGCCAGGGTACTGGAAGGTGCTCCTGCTTTAGACTGACATTCACCCAGGTTCATGATATCATTGTTACTACATGTGCTTTCCTCTTGATTCGCCAAGCCAAGTTTTGAGTACCTGCTGCAGGCGACAGTGTTTTGTGGGAATGAGGGAGAGGTTATTACCATTTATACAGCTGCCTTGCACTTTCCTAAATGAATCTTGCACCAAAGAACAGGCATGTCCTTCTCTTCCGTTACAGAGAATTAGAGATGTGGGAAATGGACTTGGTACCATTGATTCATTTCATTTGCCCCAGAATTAGATTATTGGTTTCCAGTCACTGTTAATTAAGGGAATGATAATGTCAGGCAGTG